TACGGTATGCAATGACCAACGGGTAATTTGAAAATCGTGTCGTGCAACGACAACGCTATATAGCCCTATGATCGTATCGCCCAACGATACGTTATGCAATGACAAAACCAGATAATTTGAAAATCGTGTCTTAAACGACCACGCTATCTGTGCTTTATGAGCTGTAGGCGCTGCCAGTGCCTCAGCGTGATTTAATATTTGCCTAACATTATCGACCTGAAACCAGCAAAATCTGGGTCGAGAACAACTGCACCTTTTCCAAATTTCAGGTCGTAGGCTAAGAGCTCATCTATCGTAAATCGATAGCATAAGAGCTGCTAAAACGGTTATTGTTTAAACAAGCATAACTCAAAAGTAGGGAGCGTAAATGAGCTTACCTTGACCGCGCCAATGTTAGGCCACAGGCAGCGTATCCATCAGTCGTGTATTGGTGCTCAATACAGGCATTGCACCAGCAGCAGCAGCACCAGCGGCAGCACCCGCGCGTGGCGGCTCCCCGGTCCAGAATGACCGCCGCCCCCGGCTGCGGCCGTGACCCCGCGCCGCCGGTGGCAGCGGCGCTCCCAGCGGGAGGTGGCCCGCAGAGGCGCACCCAGCAGCGCGCCGAGAGGGACGCCCCACCCCGGCCACGCAACGCATAACACAGCCAATACATAACAATACATAACCCAACAGAGTGTAGACTGCCGTGGTCGAGATTTTATCGTGAGTCTAGTCCGCTCTAGCCGAGATTTTATCGGAAGTCTAGCCTGATCTTCATCTGGCCGAAGATATATCGGGGATTCTAGTCCGCTCTAATCGAAGTTTTATTGGGGGTCTAGCCTGATCTGGCCGAGGATTTATCCGGGGATCTAGTCCGCTCAAGTCAAGGTTAAATGTGAGTATCTATCTAGTCTGCTCTAGTCGCAGCTTAACCTAGAAGTTTTCTCTTCGATGATGTAAGCTCAGACGTTGTAATGTGGCATTGTTGAGCGCGGTGTCGAAAGTATATAGTAAATAGTTAGTAGTTGGCAGGGACGGGCGGTGGCATCTACGTGAATTTGCAGCTGGTATGTAACAGAGATGCTCATCCTTGTATTGTCTTCCTTTCCTTTCTAGCGCCTTTCACTGATAAATTGCGGATGTTTAATATTGAAACTAAGTCGGCATTTGACGTTTCTTCTTTTCTTGATGACGTTAACTGCTACAAACTTTCCAATTAGTTCACTTCAACTTGCCACTGAATGAGCGTGTTTTGGTTGAATGAGCACTGGCCAAGCTGTGTTAACCTCCTACGAGGTCCCTGATTTGTGAGATGCGTCCCCCGAGCTGACTGGCCGGGGCTCGGTCATATTGAACGATTCCGTCCATTGGTGTTGTAACCGCACCATTCTCCGTCCGAACCAGTGTAACGGTCAGTCTCCGTCCGAACCAATGTGACTGAACCAGTCTGTCCGAGTGTTACTGGGCCATCCTCCGTCCGAACCAGTGTAACTGAACCAGTCTCCGTCCGAACCAATGTGACTGAACCAGTGTCTGCCCTGATCGGGCAGGTACTGCCGGTTTTCGCCCCGGCGCTGTTGATGTATTACTGAATTGTTTGAACTGGAGGCTGTATCTCTGGTTAGACGACTTTGGTCGAATGTGCTGGCTCATAGCGTCTTCTGCGGTGGCTTGGGTAGAGCGGTATAGGCAGAGGTAGCATAGAAACAGATGTAGACGTGATGTAGCAAGTTCAGCTCACGAGGTAGCTCCCTACTCTCTGAGTAGGGAAGTCTCGAGATGGCCCGCAGTTTGAGCCGTAGAGGTGATATGGGAAAGTCGGCGCGGTTGGTAGCATCCAGGTGGATAGACGAGCAATAAATGGAAACAAAACCAGTGTCGTTTCACTGTCGTCCCTGTGAGGTATTTACGTCTGTGAAACTTTATTGGTAAATATGTCAGTCGTAATGGCCAAATATATTTATTTGATCTGGAAACCAATTTTTTCTGTTCAAGGGGCACTGTTGAATCCTGTTGTGACGTTTTGAGTGGAGTCCTCATAACTGATAATTAAATGACATGCACAAAACACTCACACTCATACTGAGCAGGCGATGGGTGGGATTGTGTGAGCTCGCATATGATGCAGTTTGTTGTTCAAGTCGGCCGTAAAACGTGTTGATCGGAGAGTTCGATGCATATCCGCTATTTAGGTCTGTTTTCGACGAGGGGCAAACAGACAATTTGCACCCTTGGGTGCATGAACCATGAAATGTCAGGCGTGAGTGCGTGAACCGTGGAATAAACATTTCTTTTTCCGTCTAAACTGACATCGAATACAGGTCGGACTAAGTAGCCCCCGAGTGAAGAGTTACGTGTGTATTCACTGAGGACTCATTTCTTTGGCATATTAGTGGCTTTTGGTTTGCAGAGAATTACACTGAGTAGTCGCACGATTCGTGGACCGTGTTCAATGGCCCTTTTCGGTTAACGCCTACCGTAGGGCCTGGCGCCTACCTGTGGTTACCTATCTAAGAATCCGCAGCAGCTTATCATGTAGTGAGTGCATTCTTCCAGGAAACAGTTACAACCACAGCGTTTGAGTCAGTCTTCTGAGCCAGCTAGAGCTTTTGAGCGCATCTTACCTACATACATTTCTCTCTTATCTCTCTTACCTATGCACAGGCGATATTGCTGTTCTCTGCAGATCTCTGTGGATCTCTTGAAAAGAGCTCGATTTTGTTTCAACTTAATTGTTCACTCGGTATTTATGTCAACAATTCTACCCGTACAGCTTCATTTGAGATGTGCTCAAAGTGGCCCGCACAGTCCAAGCATTTTACGCACGGCACCGCGAACTATAGCATGCGCTTCGTGTCCCCGCCAACAGATGTCACTGGTGACGAGCGCCTGATTTCACACTGTGCCGCAATGCTCGCGGACTGGGCTGCAGTCAGCGACCGAGACGGCGAATGTTCGCAGATGGTCGCGGAGCTGCGAAAGTGACGTGCGGCCGGTCGGGCAGCAAATAGTAGAACTAACGGTGACCGATGGGGGAGGGGTAACGTGATTAATTACGAGCTGTGGCTGATGCTTGACTGAGCCTTCAGCCGTGCGGTTCTGACTGCGGATTGGAGCGTTCCAACATTTCCAAGACCTCTCTCCCTCCCCCTTCCTCCCTTCTTCCCCCCTCTCTCTCTCTCTCTCTCCCTTTCTCTCTGTCTGTCTGTCTGTCTGTCTGTCTGTCTTTCTCTCTCTCTCTCTCTCTCTCTCTCTCTCTCTCTCTCTCTCTCTCTCTCTCTCTCTCTCTCTCTCTCTCTCTCTCTCTCTCTCTCTCTCTCTCTCTCTCTCTCTCTCTCTCTCTCTCTCTCTCTCTCTCTCTCTCTCTCTCTCTCTCTCTCTCTCTCTCTCTCTCTCTCTCTCTCTCTCTCTCTCTCTCTCTCTCTCTCTCTCTCTCTCTCTCTCTCTCTCTCTCTCTCTCTCTCTCTCTCCAAACAACATTCTCGCCCCAATAACCGCTGCGCCGGCTATTAGACAGAGGGCAGACACAGCTCAGCGCTACACTCCGTGCTTCTGACAGAGGCCGGTTTATGAGTCGGACCCGGCGCACGGTGGCGGGCGGGACGGATTGGCGCTCGTCGGGGTCGGGCCGTCGGTCCGGGCCGAGCACCAGTGCCGACTGTCGGCGGCTCCGAGCGGTGTCCAGGGTGGCCACCAGTCGCGCTCGTGCTCTCCGCCGCCGCCGCCGGCGCTCGGGACGCGCAGTGAGACGCCGGTGCTCGTCGGAGCGGCCTGTCGGACTGACGGATTCTCGCCCCGGTGCGGTGGGTCGGCGACATGTGCTGAAATGACATGAGCTGACATCGGAGGTCAAACGTTTCCATTTCTCACCTTTTGATTGCTTCAAGAGCAGTATGCCTTTACCACGGGTGGAGAATGTTTGAAAAAGTTACCCCGGCCGGCGACCGAAAGTCAGAAAGACGATGATGCTCAAATATTTGTCAACGGTTATCAACAAACCCCTATTCTGTGGCATAGAATAATGGATGTCTGCCGTTTGTACGTTTTTAGGGAAAACTGCTGCACGCAGGTGCGGAAGATTTCGTAATTGTAACAACAATTTTGCAACATGCCTTAAAATTTCGGACGCATGTCACCTAGTGCTAGGTCAGGTCATCAGGTCAAATTTGCTGGATGATCGTGCTAAAAATGCCATCATGCCCTTTGCAAAGCTTATTCCGTGGAAGTTGCAACCTTCCCACACAAAACAACATGTCAAATTTGACCGTTTTGATCCTCTTATTGATTTGAGCTCGCACCTGAAATATTATTCGCGACCGAGCCTTAAACGAGTAATCGAATGTTTTGTTTGCAGTGTTTAAGCTCCGTTATGTTCATGAACTGTGAGAAAAGTTGTCGGAGAACGCTAAAATCAGAGAAATTTGGCTTTTGATGATCTATGGTGATTTTATTATTGAGCTTGCCTAAAACATGACCAGATTTCTCTGATCACGTTTGTCGCTCTTTCAAACATCGTTCCGCTTCTCGCCTCGTAGCCCAGTAGCCGAGTGAGAAGGAGCGTGAAAAGCCCACCTCTCTACTCAACGTGTTACGATAGGGCCACCATCCTGGCGCGGGTTAAGTTGGGGGAGCCTTGAGCCCCAGCAGCTCGTCCTTCCATCTCACTGATATTACTCTCGTCCTGTCTTGTGATGTTATTACAGTGCCATCTTACGACAACGGCCCTTAAATATGACTTACTTCTGTTTGATGAAACATGTCGGGCTCCGCGATGAAAAGACTTAAAAACATAGAAGCTCCAAAATGAAAATAAAGTAAATTTTCAAGAACTTTTCAATGTAGATAAAAATAATGAGAGACGCTTTTATAGATGGCAGTTTTTTCGTATGGAGACAGCTTTTAGGATTTACAAAAGTGGAAAAAGTTACCCCGGCCGCGCCGGGGTCGGCTGAAAGTTACCCCGGCCACGGCCGGGGTGGCCGGGGCAGGTTCTCCACCCATGGCCTTTACCATTTCCTGTCCTTCCCAGACATACAATTCGATGGACCTGCCACTTCATTATTTAATTGTACAACTTTCCTTTTTTCGCTGGCTAATATTTGGATCGTTCCCGCATCTATTCCAAGTGAACCCCGTAACATAACCGTTCCCCTCCTAATGTGACCGGTGTTGTCCCGCCCTGTTTAGTTCTGCTCACCTTCCTCGGGTGGTGTGTGCTGCATTCCCTGTGCCCCGGCCACCCCCTGGCCATGGTGTGGCCGCTCCGCCCCTTCCTGCTCCTGCTGCCGATCCTGCTGTCTGCGCTGCTGACCTCGCGGCCGGCCGGGGCCAACTCGGACGCCTCTCGGCTCTACGACGACCTGCTGTCCAACTACAACAAGTTGGTGCGGCCGGTGGTCAACAACACCGACAAGCTGCAGGTCTTCATCAAACTCAAACTGTCCCAGCTCATCGACGTGGTGAGTGACCTCTCGCTGTAAAATTTTAACAGGGAGAGGGCGGCCATGTGACGCGGCTGGTGGGTGCGGGAAATGAAATGATTTTGATACTTGTGATAGTCGTCCGATCCTTTATTGATGAGGCCATATTTATTTGTCTGTCGTTATTCATATTTTGTTTACAGCAATGCTCTGAAGACCTGATTGGCTTGCTTAGTGTCCAGTATACCTAAAGCATGTACGCTGTGCGCAGTCTCCAGTAGGCCCGCAAGCATTTTTTCACGTCAACTCAGGGGTTTCTTTAAATACACTGTGTGCAGTGCAACTGCTCTCCGGAAAACTAGACCTTTTGTTCATAAGCACAAGCCAAACCTAAACTAAAACGGTTAGTCTTGTTCGAATTTCGTAGCCCCCTTTCAAGCAGGTGGATGGATTCAACGTAAAGTTTATGGTTTGTTTTTAGAGGCCAATAGATTCTTGATAAGATCGTTGTAAGAATCATTATTCATTATATCTAGCAGTCAGTGGTTAAGGTGCCCAGAAGTTAGCCAGCCTGCTTTATGCGTCAACATTTTCTGTAATCTGTTTTAGTCATTATGTTATATCGTGACCGTCCACTGCATGTCTACTCTTTTGTGTACGGATCACACCATGGCCCATCTATCCTAATCTCTCATCGATGTTATTGTCCACATTTGTTTCTGTCTCTGCCTCCCCGGGCCTATGTGATGGTTCTCCTTCCTTGTAGGTAGGTACTTACTATACGTACAGCTTCTGCCGGTATTCGTCTCATCAAATATGCATTTGCCTGCCTGTTTTTGCATGAATGCGTTCAAAGGATTAAAGCGGTACCTACTAAAAAGGCCAACGTTAGGTGTATAGCATACCTAAGTATCTAGGTACATGTGAAAAAAGCTAAGCCGAACAAATGGAGATGACAATGATATAATCTTATTTTAAGTGTTATAAAAAAAATGATGCATTTTACTTAATTGGTGCTTAGTCGTGGCCATAACTATTGTCGGGTATGTAGCATGGCGCATTAGTAAAGTGGTCTTGGCATGGCGTGCATTTGTGACAAGGCCGAGCTGGCTGGTCGCTCCGGCTCGTAATGTGCCGCCCTGATACCGAGCTTCGTTCGCCTGCCATTGGCGGTGCCATTACTGCGGCGGTAGTGGTCACGAAACGTGAGCGCAACTGCGGCTTTTGGAGGAGCTGCCGACGCAGGTAGGCAAGCACCAAGATACCTATAAGAAACAGGTAGATCCGATGTTTGAAAGTAAAGCCCCAGTCACAAATTTGACGCACCTGTGACATTTCCTGACACCCACGTGACTATTGTATTAACTTTTGTGTTTTGCGATGTTTTGACCTTATTTAAAGTACTGAAAGCTCAAAATGTATGATTAATGTTGTTTAAAGCAGCATTTTAATAATTATGTTTGTAAATTATCGATAAGCTGCTTATAGCAGGTCACGTGATTGCTACCAGATTATGTGCTCAGAAAGCATCTTTTCAACTTCAATTTTGAACAATTTTTACCTGCTTTGAGGCCAAATGATGGACGGTTTGAGGCACACGATGAAATGCTGAATCTATTAATGCCAAAATTTGTTCGTTTTTTGCATTTTTAGACTAGTATACCCTGGCTCAAACTTTGACCAATTTGTGTGTAAACCCTATGGTGAAGGGAAAACTTCACGCCCAGCAGGCGTCATTACAGTGCTACCAAATCGTGTTTGGTGGGGGTCGGCAAGCACCACGAAGAACATTGCTCGTCAGTTTCTTCTGCATACTCGTTATCGTACCTATAGCCTATAGGTTTGGTAGCCTCGAGTTTGTCATTTATCGGTCTATCTTGGACTTGGAAATTTAAATCCAGCCTTGCTTGAATTTTTACCCTTTCTGGAGGTGTGGTTCTTTCATGAGGAAATAACGGTGTCTTCCCAAAGAGTGACTGACTGTGAGTTGGCGGACATCTCTCGGTCGTGCGAGCTCGATTAGACCTGTGACGGATCACACCGGCCGGCACGCACCGCCGCGCCGGGGCGGTGATGGTGTGGCGCGGACGGTGCTCTCCGCTGCCGGCTGACCGCTGTAAGGACAGCACACCATCGCTTACTCACCGCTGATGTGCTCGGCCCGGTACCGGGACATACTCAGCTCGGCGGATCCCTTTGTCAGCGGCCCGACCCCGAGCCATTACACCGCCGTGCGGCCGGCCAGCCCGTCACTAACCGGGTGCATGTAAGTAAGGCGACGGAACAGCGAGGGACAGGACAGCAAAGGAGGTGGGGAGATAGCGATGGGGAGAGTAGTCAGCTGCCGGACATTGGTCACGTGACCACATTTTCCGTGTGACCTTGAGTTGGCACCAGATTTTGTCGACAGACGTGGCGCAGCTTATTTTACTGCATTATTTTAGATACTAAATATTTAGACGTGTGGTGGTAAATGATACCGTGCAAATAATATTGAATCATCGGTGACATAGTTACCATTGATACTTGAATAGCATCAATAAAATGCAATTATTACTCTTCCATTGATTTTATTGTGTTTGCAGGCATAGGTAGAAACTGAAAAGCTGAGCCTGCAGCTTACAGTTGTTCTATACAGTAGCGGCGGAACACCTTCAATTAAGAGGGGGGGGGGGCACTGCCGACTTTCGGTCCGATTCTTTCCATGCAACGCCCATAGGGCTAATGTTAAAATGTCAAAATTATAGGGGGCACGGTGCCCCGGTGCCCTCCCCGTTCCGCCGCCTATGGTTCTATAACTCTTAATGCATAAATCAATGCTACTGAGGGCTGCAAATTTGTTTTTTACTTATCTTTAATAAGTGATGCCCTACCTTCATCTACCATTATCTGTAAGAATCTTGCATCAATCATCACCAGACTTCTTAGTTTTTTTTTTACATACCTACGCCCCAGCCGCGAGAGTGGGCGGGTACGACTCCCTCGCCTTAAAGGAAATAGTTCACTTTTTAACATGGGTTTTGAACTGGAATAGCAGTTCCGTAGCTTGGGCTGAGACGAGCATAAATCAGGAGCTTTTACAGCCCAACGATCACCCTAGGCAAAGATATTCTATTTCTCGTCCCGATTGCGTTGAGGATGTGTGCCTTGCATAAATTTCCATCCAGTATGAAAAGAGCATGGGTCCCGAAAATTCTTCAGAAACTAAAGAAATTATCTACGAGAACTCTAGAGAAATTCTCGTACTGATCAATTAGGACATTCAGGGGAACATTATCAGATCGAGCAGATCGCCCAAATGCCGGTGGCTGCGATAATTTCTCTGTTTCTGAAGAATTTTCGGGACCCATGCTCTTTTCATACTGGATCGCGTGTGCCTTACAGAAACTGAAAAGTTCTTCCTATATCAAAATATAGAAAAAAAATCTTTTGTTATAAAAAGGTTTTATTTTCTTTGCTGATTATTTTGAACATAAAAAATAATAAATCGTTGCAAAAAAAATAATTTCATGAAAGTGAACTATTTCCTTTAAAGGGACTATCCCACCTTTAACATGGGGTTTAAGGTGGGAAATCTGCACAACCGCACGTGCAGATTTGGTCACGTGACCAAGCGCATTTGCCGCCACTGTATTTATATACACTGTGGGGAGAGTGAAGGGTAAAGTGTGTGTGAAAGAGGGAGAGAGAGAGGGGGAGAGGGCAAAAGTGGGATAAATAGAGAAGAATACACCGACCGTGGCTTGTCGATGTGCTGACATGCCCAACTGGAAAAAGAATTGCGCAGGGGATACAGGGTTGTATACGACTCAGAGTTGAATCATGAATCGACTCAAGAATCAGTCGTTTTTCTTCGAGTCATGAGTTGAGTCGAATCAAATAATTTGAAAGCTTAATGAATCATGAGTCGAGTCGATTCACATATGTATAGGCCACTTGAGTCAGAGTTTGAGTCGATTCAAGGTAACGCGAGTCACATTTTGAATCGATTCAATGAACTTGTCACAGTCTGCTCCAGCTACCAGGGAAGATAAACTTATTTTTAAAGTCATGAAACTGCTAGTGAAGTAGTGAGCACCTTTTATGTTTAGGCTGGCATCCGCTACCTATTATATTCAACTTTGGCCAAGTCAGCATTGCAATTGCCTCAGCCTGTATTTATACCTATAGGTAATCACTACATCTGTGGACTGTTACTGAAATACTCACATTGGGTTGGCTTTGTGAGTGCTAGTAAGGGAACTAACAAGTATAAGATAGCTACCAGTTTACAATTGAAATAAAACCTTAAATAATTGTCTATCAAAGTTGTCTAGAAAGACCATCAATAACCCTCACATTTTTCTTTTCCGATGGTTCACAATTGCTAATACGTGGTCGCGCATGACGTCGCAAATAACTATTCGTAAACAAGATGAAAAATGAAGTTTTTATTTAATTCAAGCTGATAAATGAATAGGAACAGATTTAAAACGATATGAGAACTTGATCTTTTTAGCCAGAAAATTATAAAATGATAAAAGTTAAGAAAAAATATAACATGATTTGGTTTCAAATTAAAATTGTATGACGTCATTAACGTGGACAAATGTTTCTCGAGCTTGCATAGATAAGAGTAATATTTGTAAGTTATTAGCAATTTCTGTCGACAATCATATTTGCTGCCATATCCCAAACGTAAAGGAAAAGCAAAAAATCGTAGCGGCGCTACCATAGCTAAAAAAAACGCTACCATAACGCAAATCAACTGGAAAGTGACGTTTTATTTAACTTTGTTATTTATAATTAACGCAAACGTCCATTTTTAGGCTTGGCCGCGGAAACACATATCTCTTCAGCATTGCGCGCCACACAGGAATGCGGCTGATTCACGTGCTTTTGTGAGCGAGGTGCTTCCCTCCGGGAGAAATTCGCCGTCCCCATATGCTTAACACGGAGCCGAGCGGCGGCTGACAGGTGGCCGGCTCTCGGGAGATCGGCAGCCGACACTCGAAAAATCGACAAGCCGCCGCTGAATGCGCGTGCGAAGATGAGCGGGG